TCTAACAGAGCCATAGTTTCATTTCTCAGTCCTGCTCATCGTTATTCAAAATATTATTCAGGCCCCAGGCCTCTGCTCTTTTTTTTTCTCTTGTATTATGATAAACAGCAGATATTTACACATACAGTTGCCATTAACTCTATCTAGATGATTGAGAATTATTAGAATAAAATAAGATTTATTGATGAACAGACTTTGTACAAGTGGGGTGTGGTAGAAACCACTGTATGACAAACCACAACTATAAGATATTGAAGAGATAAAACACAAAACATTCAATATCACAGATAAGTCTAACCAAAACCTTATCACTTACCTAACCATGACCAATTCATGCCTAACTCTAACCTTAACCTGACCACACTCACATCTTACCCTTTACTTTAACCAGAACCTCAGAAATAAAGTTTAGCCTCATTAGCTTTGGTCCCTGTGAGGTCTGCCCTTCCAGACAGGGCCAGTGTTTATACTGGAAAAGGTCCTAAAGAGGTAACAAAAATGAGTGCACACACACACACACACACACACACACACACATAGATTTCTTCCCTCGCCTGCACAGTCTCTCTGTGACTCAGTAAATCCAGTCTGTCTAATCGATTAGCCGCCCTCTCTGTGCGCCTCCCTAATGTTGTAGCTCTGAGAGGCCACTGTGCTTCTCACCTGTTCATTGCAGATAGGCCACCATGACGCCTGCTACGGCAGATGTGGAGACGTCCACTGAAAAGCGCCACGTGATGATGTGCGACGGTTTTTAATGAATTCCTGCTGACGCCTTCCCTCTGCTCTCCCGTTGGTGAGCTTTGTAGGTCTGATGGGGAACAGTTCAAGATAGACGACCGATTCCAGCATCCGTCTGCAAAGCCCAGACACTCTGAAACAAACTGATAAGACTGAAGAACCCACCGAGCGACGGCAGCCACTTACTAATTGAAGCCTCTGTCTCGTCTCCAGATTTACTCCTGACTGTGCGGAGCGTCCCTTTTGTTTTTGCATGATTCAGGGGGCTGGATGCCGTTGTGATTATGCCTCTTTTAGAAAGTTGTCACACTTTCGAGGTGACTCCAACCTTGAATTATTCTTTCTTTGGAATGCAAATGATGCCAATGAATAAAAAGAATAAAGAAACATTCTCAGCATGATAATTTGTATAATTCAGCAACACTGGACAATAGAGGTCAGGTACCTGCACGTTCAATCCAGGGTTATTATTGTTAATGAAAACTAAGACTAAAACTAAAACCAGCAATGAAAAAATAATTTAGTTAACTGAAATAAAAATAAAAATGACAATTACAAAAAAAACGAAAACTAAATAAAAACTACAATGAACAATGCAAAACTAACTAAAACTAAACTGAGTTGCAGATAAATTCAGCTTCATTTTCTCCCTCGATTACTACCTGTCCTGCAGGTGATGGTTAAAGAATGACATTAAAGGACTTGATAAACCACATTGTTTCATCCAGCTTCTACAAGTCAAGGCTTTCTCTTAATACCTGGAAAAACTAAAACTAAGACTAAAACTAAACTGAAACTAGTCGATTCCTCAAAATAAAAACTAAACTAAAACTACAAAATCACTTGTTGAACTAACTAAAACTAAACTGAAATAAAAAAGCAAACTGAAAAACTAAATAAAAATAAAAACTAATGAAAATTTCAAAACTATAATAACCTTGGTTCAATCGGCTACACAATTAAGTAACATACACACATTTGTTTGTTTAAAACCTGTTTATGACCTAAGCAAACTGTTGACTAACATAATGGATGAGAGACATCTTTGTTAAGAGAGAGAGAGATAGAGAGACCCATTAGCCTGGTATCAAACTCTGACATCTTGGCCACTCTGCGAGGTCCGGGCGTAATGTGCATAACACGAGCGTCTGTCAGGGATCCATGAGGTGAATTAGTCCGAACAGTTCAGCTTGGCAGTAGTGAAAGCTTGGCACCGCCGCCAAAGCTCTGTGAGGCTGATTAATCCATATTAAAGACAGAGACTAACAGTTGTTTTCTATAAAATAAAGAGGCACGGCTGAGAAAGAAGAGGTGGAGGATGGGATTTGTTTTGTCATTTTTTTAATGCAAGTTTATGTTTTCGTCTGCATTTGTTGGTTTCCATGAAATGTTGTGGAGGGGTGGGGCAGATCTGCAGCATTTTTGTTTTCCCAAAAATAATTCATGGTAAAAAAAATCAAGCATGTTTAGAGAACTGATTTATGAGTTTCTGCAATTTGGTGCGGATTAAAAAAATAATGTATCTGGTGAATTTAAATGTGGTTTCATAGCCTTGGAGGAGCGAGTGCTCTACTCAGTCACATTCTAGATTGTAATGAACTGGTTTCTTCTTTTTTTTCAAGCTTTTTCAAAGCCAGTATTTGCATAGTTAAAGTGTAGCCTGGCTTTTCAGTCAATGATTGGTGAAGACTGCGGTAATGCTTGGAAACCTTCATGGTTGTAAAGTCCAACATCATCAGACAAAAGACCCCGAGGAGCTTAACCGCAGTAACAGAAATACACTTAAATGGAAATGAGGAACACAGTGCTTGTTATTGCAGAAACTTGTGATTGGCGAGTGGGCGAAGTATAGACCCCCGACAGTGTTGAGAGATGTTGTGCCTTATGTCAAATACAAAAAGGTGTGAATTATCAATAAATCATCAAATCACAAGTAACTGAGATCTTTGAGTCATTATTGTTTTACACTGAACCACAATGTGTCCTTTGATTGAACAGAGCTGTAAGAATATTCAAATCGGAGCTGTGAGAATATTCAAATCCAAAATCATTCCAGAGACTAAACAATGTGTTCAGCATTTATTTTTACACTTAATTCTGCCTTTGAAAGCTTGTAGATTGGTGGTCTTTAGAGTGTATTTAAATTTTGCATTTCACTCTGCATTTTCAAAAAGGTGCAGTATAGACCTTGCGCTCTGTTTCGAAATGCCACGAGGATTAATGGCACTGATAAGTGGGGTTGCTGGATCAAACTAAGTCCTGTTGAGTGTTGCCATTTCTGTTTCATCTGCGGTTTGTGGAACATGGTTTTAAAGTATTACAAAGACTGAAAAAGAGAGAAAAGGCAGAAGAAAGTGAGGAGGGACTGTGCTTTTTATAAGGGAAACCGTGGAAAGGTTCAGATCTGTGCCTCTCTGGGCTCGCTGTGCTCAGACACCGGCAAACTTCAGGGGAAACAGACGGAGAACAAACGTGAATGCAGGCAGACACTCGCAGAAGCACACTGGGATTTTTTCTGCATGACTGGAGGTTACATATCAAGAGCTGCAGCAGGGGCAGAGGGCAGATGGTGCCTTTGAGGTGGGAGGTTGAAATATACAAAGGTAGACGGTGTGTGAGTGTGTGTGTGTGTGTGTGTGTGTGCGTGTGTGTGCAGTGTTGACACAAAGCTCAGACTAAGGTGTTTGGAGCACAGCAGCACTTGAAGGTGCGATACAGTTGAAAAAAAATAATCTTGTGGCTTTTGACAGTTTCATCTGTGCATCTTGTGCATTTTTATTCTTTCAGCTTTACTCTAAATGATGGGACTAATATTAAACTTTATTTTTCTTCCTTGAACTATGAATTCTTCATTGATTCTGCTCCTCTTTCACTCTGTTTATGCTCTTTAAACACTTTCCTATTCACAACACAATGATGATCTTTCATTTTAAATTATTTTTAACTACAAATGTTACACAGCATTTTCACGAGATATGAGGCTCCTCCACAGCTCAGGACAATCAGAGAAAATTATTCATCTCTAACAACTCACAGGATTTAAAGGTTTTTTTAGGAGCCTGTTATGCAGCGTGTACAGCAGGATAAGTGGATGGATGTCTCCATCTAGTGTTCAACTTTTTCTTTACCAGCTTTCTCTATAGAATTTTCAGAAAAGGGCCAATTTTGCTTGTTATCATGACACGAATAAATTATTATAAATACAATAATGTAATTTACAACCTGGTGATATGTTTTCAAAACTCAAAGGGAAAGATTGTTATGGAGCACAACAACATGATAAGCAGCAGAAATAACAAAGATAATGCAGGGAGCACTAAGTTCCCTCACTCACCTCGGTCTCACAGATGTTGCACAACAAAGTTAGACACTTTTATAATTTCAGCAGGGACTTCATCTTAATCTTTATAGTATGTATTTAGTTTAAAGACAAATTACAAGTAGTTCTGTCTATATTGAAATGAATATTTTATACAAAGACTTGTAAAGAGTAATGTAACAGACCACACTGTATTAATGCCTGGTTCTGTATTGTAGCCCATGAGAATGAATGGACAAATGGTGGTGGGATGGTGGGGGGGCTGTACCTCAAACTGAAATCGTTGTCCAAACGTCCCTGGTTTTGTGTCTCACATCTCCCTGCCAGAAACCACATACTGCCACAATTACGTGAAATTGTATTGTTATCACAAAATGACTTGTCACACCCCCAATCAGTCAGGAATCCAATCACAACCCAAGACCACAACCCTGTGTATTCTAAACCACTATATGGAAGTGACTGGTAGGAAGCAGAGCAATGAGTGTAGGGGTCGGAGAGGAAAGTCTTTGAAAAAGTACTTTATATGTGGGAGACACACATATCCTCACCTATTAATATATATTTATTTTTGTTTTTGTACTTCATTTATGTGAAGTCAAGTTCTACATGTTCTTTGCTGTTCCAAATGTTGGTGATTTAATAAACCAAAAAATATCCCCGTTTTTTTCTTATTCACCAATTACACCCTGACGCAAAAAGAAAACAACAACAGAAAAACGAGGTCTGAACACAACCATGGATTTGGAGAACTGATAATCAATCAATAAGTAGTGGTGCTACCACGAAAGAATAAAAACAGCAACAACAAATTAGAATTCGACTAAAGCCAAGTTTGCTACCTGTTGCTGTGTAAAAATCTGATGTTATTATTTAGACCCCCCCTCTGACTGTGTCCCTGATTGATAATGTTATGTTGAATAAAACATCCACAATTCACTAAAGTAGAGATCATAGATTTTATTTGTGATGTAAAGAACCATCAACCATGTTATTGTCAAAATATTGCATTAAAGAAAACCAAGAACCACAAGCAGGGTAATACAATGATTTCAGTCATTTTGCTTCTGTCTCCCATATGTTTCCTGATGGACTAAAGAGGTTGTCCCTAAAAGTGACAAATGAAGTGCCATTAGAGGTGGTTTTAAACTAGCACTGATCTTTAAAGAACTGGTCAATTATTTAACAATGTTTGAAAAAGATACAACTAACTAATTATGAATCCTGATACTACAAAAATTGTATGTCAAATATGACAGAAATACAATCTTATAACTGTTACAGAAGGAGCTATACATAGGGTAATGTTGTCCACTTGTTGAAGATCTCATGTTTTCTTTTTTACTGTAAGGATTTTAACCTCAATGCTATTTCAAAGAGACACATGTATTACTTGTTTGAATGTGCTGGCGTCTGTGAACCACTTCCTCTCTACTTCTCTCTTGCCCAGCTCCAAGAGTTTGTATAAGATCAGAGTTCCACTTTTGGCTGTAGTCAATATGTATTCCTTGTTGTCTGGGTATTTGCTGACATTGTATCTTCCGTAAACCAAAGACTGGCAGAGCCTACCGAGCACCATCAGGAAGAGGCAATCCCTCTCATCATCATTGAGCAGCATGACACTCTCCCAGCCCGCTAACAGTGCGCCACCTACGTCCATGGGACTGGGGTTCTGCAGCATTATGTACATGATCATTATTGCGAGATCATACACGTGGCATCCAATCGTGAGCATCGAAAAGTCCAGGATGCCTGACACCTCATGATGCCCATTGGTTAGTGGTGTGACAATGATGTTTTGGTCACTCAGGTCCCCATGTATTATCCCTGTGTAGGACAAGATACCTAGTACTTTCATATTAAATGTCATTTATATCTCAAGGTTGCTAGAAAGAGATTAGCAGCAGCCTCACACAAAGGGCCTGTCTCGTAAAACTATAAAGTTGGATAACATGACATCCTCCCATAAGTGAAGCCTGATTATCTTGATCACCCCCTGGTGGCTGGCTGCAGAAAAGGTCAAAAATGCCCCCACCTCCATGTTACAGGATGGGACATGGACCAAACTAGAAAGTTAAAGTCCACGAGAAAAAAAATTCTCAAAAACAATTTCTGTAATTTTAGGTATTTTTTTCTCACACTGATATATTTTTGATTTGGTTTTAATTAATTAATTTAACTCAATTCTGCAGCTCAACTCTCAAAGCTACATCACCCACTCTATATAGGCTACAGTTTATTGGCTCTATTGTAATCGTAAAGACATTTAGCTTGTTCTGTTTTATTAATTAAATGTACTCTGAACTATAACTGAATACATATAGGTAGGTGCTGAACAATATTTTCAGGGAATTCCTTCTTTCTGTAATATCTGCACGTAGCAGCTGCAGTATGGTTGAGGTTAGAAGAAGATTGTTAAACTATTGTTGAAAACCTCTGTATAATCCTGCAAGAATTACTTTTGTCCACTTTGGATGTGATGTATATTTACTCTAAAAAATTTAATTAAAGCTGCTTTTGTATTGTGGCTATGTTTGAAGTAAAACAAATGTTATCTGAAGTCATGAAATCCTTCAATATAGGGCTGTCCAATATGATGATATATGTTATTGAATATATCAGTTGAAAAACGACGTAACAATAAAAAAAAATCATTTGGATAATGCTTTGCATTCATCAACATGTAATGGACACATGTAAATTTGCAATAAGTCAATATATTATGGTTATAAATTGACCTATATCAGGGAATGAGACTTTTTTTATATTGTTCATCCCTGCTCAAATAAAAAAATAATTGAACAAACAAGAAAAATCATGAACAGGGCTTCACAGCAAAGAAAAAATTATAGCATCTAATCAATGTTGACTTGTTACCTTTTTGGAAATTGCTGATTTTGGGCTGCACATGTGATTGAAACTGTTGGATGACTGCTCTGATCACATCCTGCAGAGGATCTCCATCCATCAGTGACAGGTAGCCCTCCACCAGAGGAACGTTTTGCATATCCCACAATATATTGCCCCTTTGCAACACATCCAGGTTTGGAGATGACAGCTGAAAAAAATTAATAATTAGTTTTTAACTATTTAACTGTTTTGTGCCATGAAAACTGGCTTCAACAGCCATGTTAACGAGCAATAGCACTGGATAATTACCACATTAATACTCCACTGTATTCACCAGCTCGTTGCAAACTTTGACCATCCACATTTTGGTGCGGAGAAGGTGTTGCACAGTGGGAATCTAGAGCTTTTCATGTGGAAAGAGGCTTGATCTTTAAAACCAAAATAATGAGCTTAAAGATGCTAAAACTCTGTTGAGCTGAGAATACCACATCTGGAATTAAGGCTACCATCCACTAATTTGTTTTAGTTTCAAACTGCATCACTGCTTCTATGTTTCCCCCTGGCGTACTGATCAGGACTTGTTCAGCCCCTCAAATAGAGTTCAGAAATGCTGCTGGGTCTGTTTTAGTTTGAAAACTCAGGGGCTGCAAACTTTTAAACATTGCTGTTACTCGTTTGTAGAATTTTATACAACTAAGCAACCAACTGTAGAATAGACAATCTGGTTCCTGTCTACACAGAAACAGAAATGTTTACCCAGACTTTATTGCAACTAAAACCTTTTAATATTGATGTAGCCTAATTCACTATGGGTTAATCACCACTGAGCCATTGGCCGTATGTCATCGAAATGTTATTATGTGCAGCTGTAATTCTAAGTGTTATTCTTTATTAAGCTTTTTGAAGGAAAAATCTTTCAGAGAAGAACCAACTAAGAAACTTCACCAGACTCCACCCAGCTGGAGTTTTTAAATTTTTTAGGTTTTACCATCCACAACTGTTATGGTTGTCTCATCACTATAATAGGTTTGGTTTCAGTCACAGCATGCAGTTGTGTTCTTTTTCCTCTTAATCCCTTAAATCCCACTGTTTAACCCCAGCAACTAATGATAAACACAGTTCAAATGTGGAGTAGAAAGTCCTCCAACATCAGCCATCAAAAGGGATTTGACGTATGTACCTGAAGCAACGTCTTATTCAAGGTTGCAGCCAACTTGCCCAAGTTATAAAGATCGTGAGTTGTGACTGGAGACTTTGCGACGGTCGCTCCAGGGAGGTAGGTCAACAACCTCACACAGTAGGTTTGAGCACCTTGTCCGCAGTCTAAGATGATAAGGTGGATACAAAAACATGTAACATCAATACTAAAATTCAGGGTTTTGCTTGAAGAAAAGTGCAATTTAGCATAAGAAAGGATAAAACAAGGTCACATAAGATAAGATAAAGAAAATACAACATAAACACATACTAAATTAAATATATACACAGGCAACTATAT